TGACAGGGTTGTGGGAGTCAAAAAGGATGAACTTGAGAGGAAGATTGAGAAACACAGGGTGTAATGAGCAAAGGTCATGAAGATGGATGTACATACTTTCTATGACAAATCGCCTCTGCCCAAAATAAGTTACTTCTCTTGATTTTCGTTGATGTTAATCTGTGTTAGGGCAGAAAAGCCTTTTAGCCTAATTTGTAATGTCGATTTTCGTTTTATACAAGCCTAAATTGCAGAGCAGACCAAAGGAAGACTTTATTTCCAAAATATATAATACAGGTCTTTCTCCATAACACCACCATTAAACATTTAAACTTGAATTACAAGTGTACAGACTGCAATTAGAATGCCAAAGCAGAGAGAGTAAACCTGAGGTTGTGAAGGTTTACCCGTGCAACTTCACACCATCAACACTACTTACAAGTTACAACCCATTGAACTTTGTTCCTACCATGCACAATTATCCTCTTTAGAAGTGAAGAAAACTTATTTACATTTAGTTGAACCATAATATAAATCAGTGTCGACTTATGGGGAACTAGTTTTCAGCTCCTCCCAATGCTCTCCTCAGATCAGACTTCTGTTCTGCAGTGAGCCTGGATGGAAACTTGACGTCGAACTTGATTATAAGCTTTCCCTTCTTGCTGGGTTCTTTTGAGAGGGGCATTCCTTCATTTGAGATCACCACTTGATAACCCGGTTTCACAATATCTGTAACTGGGATTGTGAGAGTTCTTCCATCTAAGGTTGTCAAGTTTAGGGTATGGCCTGTGAGTGCGTCCAAGAGTGAGATTTTCTGATTGACAATGAGATCATTTCCATCCCTCTTGAAAACAGCATGCGGTTTCTCATCCACCACAAAAATAAGATCTGCTGGAGTGACACCAGGTTCATGGTTTCCTTTTTCAGGAAAGGTTATCTTTGTGCCCTTCTTCCAGCCAGGCTTGATATCTATTTTAAGTATTTCATCAACAGTCTTTGGCTTACTGCAAAGGAGTTAATTGGATATTAAACCAGAGAAAAGGGTGTTAAAAAAAAAAAAAACATGGATATGGTAGCATTCAATAAAGAAACAAGCACGTAAAAGTTGAGCCTGTATTAGATATTTCTCTTACTAATGTCAATCACATGATTGAGAGATAGATAATTTAGAAGATAAGAAAAATTACTCTCTCAGAACTAGTTTGCTAAACAAATATCTTCTAAAGAATGCAACTTGGTTCAAGTAAGCCAGGATGAATCACATCCCAGATCCAACTGGGTACAAATGAAATCCCTAAAAATAACACATAACATCAATGTCATTTTTAGATCTTGAAAATTAGTGAGTATTTAATCACATATGAGCACCGAGAATTTAGCCTTTGCAATCAAGACATTTCACTCCAGCCACCAAAACAAACAAACAAATAAATAATAAAAATAAAAATCTTACCATATGATTAATTAAAAAAAGAAAACTTCACAAAGTTGATTTTCATTCACATACAATAAGAGCAATCTGCCCTAGTAGATACCATATTGGTAGGTGAAAGTCCAAATTAATTTCAAAATCAACTACCAACTAAACACACAAAGTCATAAAAATTAACATGAAATGGTCAGCTTTCCACTCTCAAATTTATGCTAAGATAGAGACACACTCGGTCTATAGAACACTCAGTAAACAACAAAGCTGTAAAACAATACCGTCTTCTTCATCCCTGACTACAATGAAAATTCAGATTCAACTGCTTGGCAGTTTTCAATCAAGAAACATTATGATTGTAAATAACAAACCGGCCGAATTTCATACACTCCATAATTCTCAACCAGTTGAATTCAGCTATAAAGTTCTGAATTTGGTGATTTCTATATCTCTCAGCATTCTTGAATTATGTTCATTAGTGAAATTTATAGATAAAAAAACAGAAAAAAAAAAAGGAACTAAATTTATATTAAAGTTAAACCCATACAGAATTCTTGATTTACATCTATTTTGCACCAATTGCCAAATTGAAGAATGAAAAAAAAAAAAAAGAAAAGAATTCAGATTGCTGAATTTAAATAAAGTTCTGATTTTACTAACCCAAATTCGTCAGGAACAAGCCGGGAAATCCTCATTTTCCGGCGGCTACCATTGTAAAGCTCCTCCAAGCTGCACGCCAACTTGCTCTCCACCGGCGGGGCTTTCTTGCCGCCCTGACTCGCAACCCCATCTCCATAAACCTTCCTATCCGATCCTCCGAAAAACTCCGCAAATATATCCTCCGCATGTCTGGGATTGAACCTGTACGCCCCAGCTCCTCCACTGGGACTCGATAATTCCGCCGACTTGATCCCCTCCTCCCCGTAAATATCATAGATCTGACGCTTCTGCGGGTCGCTGAGCACATCATACGCCTCAGAGATCTGCTTAAACTTGGCCTCAGCTTCTTTCTTATTGACGGAGTTCTTGTCCGGGTGCCACTTCATCGCCAACTTCTTATACGATCTCTTGAGCTCCTCCTCGGTGGCGCCACGGCTAACCTTCAGTATGTTGTAGTAATCCACCCCCATTACGGCTCCAAATTCCGGTCGTCGTTTCTGGGTCTTACTCTGCTATCGAAATTCGTAAACTAGGTAGGAATGCGGGTGGGTGTTTGTGGGGATTGAAGTAAGAGCCCAAAGGAATGTTCTGGAAAATAAAAATCAGCGAGTAGGTCGGCAAGTCGGCCGTTTCCGGTACGCAGAGTTCGA